AGTGCTGTAAATCTTGTAAATCTTGTAAAGCTGCCTGTGAAACCCAGCCCCTGCTCATCTGATGTGACCACCATCGTACAGGATGCCTTGGGCACAGCAGCACATTCATCYTGCAGCACTGATGAAGCAGGAAGGTCTTTATGCATTGCAGGGCACTGATAGTCCCTGTCTCTGTATCAGGACACACAAACAAAACACTCCTATAAAAAAAAAAAATCTGTTACTGCTGAGGTTCTAAAACCAGATACCTGACTCCGCCTGGCTTTCCTTCCATTTCTCATTCCTGGCTACTGAAGTTCAGTGACCTGGCTTGTGCACCCTTTGGGGTGAACGGGGAGCCCGGGAGAGGTGTTGGGCATGAGCAATACCAACAAACTCTGTGCATTTGGGGATGAGCAATACCAACAAATTCCACATTTTTTTGCTTTTGTGCAGCTTAACTGAAAGGCAGGGCAGAAGCAACAGYCATTCTAAGCAATCGATGCACACACTAGCAGCACTCAAAGTGCCTGGGACACAGCTAATCCCCATTAAAAATAAAACTGTCAAGACTGGATACACCTCCCTGAATGACTAGTGACATGTGCTTAGAAATGAAAGTACTGAGTGAATCGGTACTGTATTTCAAGCCAACATTCTGGGTTTTATTTTATATTCCATTTCCATTTAAAAATCTATTTCCAGGACTGCTGCTTATTAAACCTGCCCTATTAAATCATTCCCCTATTACATGCAGCATGAATTCAGGTCTCCGCTTCCCTTTTTCTTCCTCATAACATCCAACTATGCTTTTCTGTATAATAATTTCTGCTCTTAACTAGGAGAGTGTCACAAATCTGATAGGGAACACGAAGCAGTGAGTTTATGCTGCCTGCCTCCATCTCATTACATATACAATGTCCTAAGGCAAGAGTTTGCCAGCTTAGATTTTCACTTGCTCTATCCCCTTTAATTTGTGTTCCCATCAGTGCTGTTACTCTTTGTTAGTATTTGTTTTTATTTTTCTCTAGAGATTTTTTTTAAGTCACTGATTAAATAATCAAAATACTTCAAAAGGAAATTTTAAACAATGCCCTTGTAGACAAGGCAGAATAATTCAGTGCTGAAGCAGCGCTAGGTYGGTAGCCTTCATTTTGATAGAGGTCTCGGTGATTTTGATGAGAAAAATGACTTCTCATCCCCCTCTCATCTTTGGGAAGCAGATTGGAAAATCGTGAGGAATCTTTTCATGTGCAGAAGCCAAGGACCTGCATAACAGGGCACGCCTGGGGCTCCAGCGCAGCCGGGTCTCCGGGGCAGAGCCCACCCAGGTCACCAGGCCCATGTGCTGCTGTGGCTACGTTACGGTCCTCAGAACAACCTTCCCCTCTGCCGGTATCGCTTTCCTTCCCCTTCTCCCTCTGCCAGCCTCAATCCCTGCAGCTCCCCACGCTGGGAATTCCTCCCCTTCAGCCCCTTGCTTGGCTCCACCAATTCCCGGGCTAGGGCTGCGGGGCTGCTCCTGATGTGGGGAGGTCTCTGCTCCATACAGAGGCAAAAGGCAAAACAAGCCCCCCGCCCAGGTCAGAGTGGGCCTAATAGCGGGTGTGGAGAGCCCGGAGCCGGCCCACGCGGCGCCCTCTCAGCAGACGGGGACACTCGCCTCCCGGAAACACTAATGTCACTTAAATGAGACAAAATAAAATCAGCAGCCAGATAATGGCATGGAAAACCTGACAGATGGCAAGACACAGAGATTTACTGGTGATGCTGGCATGTTACATGAATAATTCACCCGGACAAACCTATGGATGAGAGGGTATGCTTAGGTTTAAGGATCAAGCTTCAAGAAAAGATGAAGAGATCTAAGTAGTTTTTTTGTCTGTAATAATCCATTCCAAATCAAAAGCCTGAAAAACCATCTCTAAAAATCAGCCTGCGCTAGAAATGAATCAGCCTTCAACTAGCATCAAAAAGCCACTACAGGGAGAAGCCCCACAGACCCCAACATCCGTGGATGCAGTGGGATTCATAAAACATATCCTTGGAGCTGGCATCCCAGGAGCTGATAATCAATAGCTTAAGGGAAATAAAGTTTTCTTACAAAAAAGAAAATGCACAAACAGCAGAAAAGGCCTGGAGGTCACAGGAAGTCAGCAGAAGTTGGGYGAGCTGAGATGCCCTCTCCTCTATTCAAGATGAGACAGGTGGCATTGTCCTGAGACCTGGGCTTGGTAACATCCTTAGAGGGGACACTGTTAGGTACAAAACTGAGCAGTTTCAGCAGTCYGGGGAAGAGAGAAAGCCCATAGCAAGGTTATTTTAGTTATGGAGAGTTTTCCATGAAAATAAGAAACACAAACTGTTACCTTGAACTGAGYGTTAGAAAGAGGGACGTAATATCCTCAAAGACCAACGAGAAAACACAAAATACATTTAAAAAGTATTACCCAAAGCGTTCAGGGAATAAAGCCCACCTAGCAGTTGGCTAGATGCTGAGAGGGGCTGAATGGCTTTGATCACGTTGGAGGCTGGAATTGCTCCTCAAATGCAGTCAGCACTGTCAGTGCTTTAACCTCCCCGGCTCACGTGGGCTACGGACAGKGTCCCAGCATTGCATGACTCAAGGAATAACCCTGGAACCTGGCAAAGGTGCTGGTAATTACGTGGCCTATCGGCATGTAAGGAATTTTATAAAGCAGTTGGATCATGCCAAGGGTGAGAAACCACCATTTCCCAGCCAGCCCCTTCCCCAGGGAGCTGCCGCGGGGCAGACTCCTCCAAGGGCTGCATTGCTTAGCAGGGAAATGAGAGCCCCGCGGGGGCCTCAAGCAGGCCGGACTCGAGCCCAATCCAATSAGCCTTGCTTTCAGCAGGGAGTAGGAAAACAGGACTGCAAGGAGGGACTGTGCAGGAACAAACTCTTCGTGCTGTCCAAGTACATCTTTTGTCTCTCTCTAGATCTTCTTGAACAGCATTTATGCACACAAAAGACTAAACCTTGCAAGCTAAAGGACAAATTAATAGCCCGCCAGGTTTATAACTGCACTTCTGTCTTGAGCAGTGGTGGCAGAAGGATCTGCAAACATATGTGAACTCACCCCCGAGCAGCACAGKGCTCCGGCGGTGCCCGGGTGTTTCCCTTTGATTGCAAGCAGATCTGATCAGCCTTGGAGGCGACACACACTTGCACCAGCACATAAGACGTCAGGAAGGAAAGCCCTTCTCACGCAAACCAAAAGCCTAACAGCTATCAGCAGTCCTGAGATTAARACTACTTGATCTTCATCTGATTAAGCTTAACCTCAGATCTGAATAATTCTGTAATGCAAGTAATGGTTCCAAAATTCTGCCTTCAGATGGTTTTAAGGTTTGAAGACAAGTTTGTAAAAGGTCTGTAGAGAAAAATTGGCTTCTCTTGTGAGTAAGCCACAAGTCAGGCCTAAACTTGCATCGAGTAACCTGTGACCTTTGGGATCCAGGTTCTTGCTAYTTCAGCAAAAAGGCTGACTTCCCTTGAGAGAGAACCCAAATGGGGGGGAAATGGAAGGTGAAATGGCTAGAAAATGAAAAGCAGGTGATCAAGGGAAACTGTCCGAGGCCTCGGAGCTGTGTGCTCAAAGCACAGGCCGTCCTGTGGCCTCTGGCCAGAGCCCCAGGCGGAGGGACCGCGGCGAACGGAGCCGCTCYGTTATTCATCTCCCCCAGCGACAACCCGAGCTGGGGAGCAGCATTAATGAGATGCCTTTTGATGGAAGAGGATGGAGGGTGAAACATCATCACGTACAGTATGTAAATAGGCTAATGCATTTACTGACATATTTTTTTCTCTAGCCTGTATATGGCTGCAGAAACTACTCCATTCATTTCATTCATTTCATTTCCTGCAAGAGAGAAGTGCATTTGTCTTCCTTAATTAGGGAGTGAAGTAGAAAGGGCTACTAGGCTGAAAAAGAAAAATTCCTAATGTGCCACATTCTGGTGAGATCTGATAGAATATTTCCTCCAGTGCTGCTGCTGACCCATAGAGTGTCTTTCTTAAACACGTAATAATGAGAAATTCAAAGGAACAGCTTGGATTAGTTCTTGATCTTTCCCAGAACAAACCTGCACACTGAAGGAAGCACACATACAGAAGTCAGCATGTTAGCTASTGTTTTAATTAAAATATTCCTGGGATGTTCCTTTGAACTCCACATCAGACACACCTGAACCATCCAGAGCAATGGATGGTTCACCTCTTCAAAGAGTGAAAGAGAAAATAAGATAAAACGCATGGAATAAACATGGAGCCTGTCCTTTTATTTCCTGAATCAATGTGTTTTAAAAAAGTGTCACCTGCAGTGAACATCTGTTATGTTTACTCTCTGCTTTAGCTATTTTACTTTGCTGATCTTGCACCTTTTCCTTTTTCTTCATTTGTTCCACAAGGCAAATAAATAAATAAATAAATAAATACATAAAGTCACCGAGCACTGCTAACATTGCAAAGTGCCACCAGAGTGACAGAAGTGCCATGAGTAGCAATAAGGATTTTCAAAATGCTACGGTGCAAAATGCTGCAAACACAGGATTCCAAAAGCCCAATCCCAGCTGCACATGTCTCATGGTGCCTAATTCAGATCTTAAATGAGCCACCCTGCAGCCCAAGGAACATTTATTCCTGCAAGTTGTGTTGCACCTTGTGGGAAAGGGACTCTGTGACAGCTTCTGATCCACACACCATCCATACATGAACCTTTGTGCACTGCTGCTGAGCATAACCCCTCCAACCAGAGCAGTACTCATCTGTAACAGAGCTAGAGGTGCTTTAATTCTGTTACAGGCTAGATCATAATCTGGAAAATGGATACCTTGGGGAGTTTGGAAACCACTGATTTAAATGTTGTAAACCTTTTCTGTCTTTAATTTCTAGTACTCCAGAAGCAAAAGGATCATTCTGCCCGTGTGGGAAACACCTGTGGTTCCCAAGAGCCTCAGCATGGCTAAGGCCCYGCCTGAGGCGCGCACTGGGTACTCACTGCACGCTGCTTCCGACTCATCCGACCCGTCCGGACACTCTTCCTCCCCATCGCATTTCCACCTGGCGGGGATGCAGTGGCCGTTGTCACAAGTGAAATCGGACTCAGCACAAGTTTTCTTTGCTGCATGAAGGAAAAAAATAAGGGATGTGAATACAAGCAGGGCAGAAGGCCTTCGTAGCACCCAACCCCACTAGCAAAAGGCCGATTCCAGTCGCTCTTATCAAGAGAATTCAACATCATGACACATCTGACACCATGACAGACCCCAACAGGTTTGAAGATGGTGGCTTCTTCCCTACAAACCCTTCTCCCTCCCCTCCTGTTGTCTGAAACAAATCCACTCTTTTATGTCTTACTCTGGCAGTTGAAAAAAACAGGAAGTTCTACATCAAAATAAATATCCAGGGCTTTTACAAGTTGCTATGTATATGGAGCTGAGAGCATGCTGCATGATTTACAGACACATAAGATAAACTGCCTTGCAGTACTATAATCTAAGTAATAATGTTTTTATCTATGTGATGTATTCATGGCTTCTCTAGTAAATCCACCCCCCAGTCGATAGTCACAGAGCACTCTTCCAAACACTAAAAATCACTTAATTAAATTTCAACCACTCCAAGCTCTTTACTTTGCTGGCATTAGATCTATAGCTTGAAAAGAAGACACAAGACCAATGAACTCAAGCGACTAGTTGGCCTGTTCCTGCTTGCTGGTAGGGCACAACCAGCACCCTGTAACAGAGCCACCGCTTTTCCTGCAACAGAGAGACCCCAGCTCCACAAGGCTGCAACTAACCAGTTGTTCAGAGGAATTCACAGGATGGAGATGACCTTTTCTTCCCTGTAAAGCTGCTCACCACCTAATAGGATCACAGGAAAACTCAACTTGGAAAAGACCTCAGGAAGCTATTCAGGAATCTGGCCCAGCCTCCTGCAGGTCAGCAAGGAGGTCAGACAAGGTTAGTCAGAGCTTCATCCAGCCTGGTCTTAAAAGCTTCCAAGGATGGAGACTGGGCACCTCAACACTCCTTCCCACAAAYGTTTTCAAAGCTTGAGCATAACAAATCAGCCTCCCTGCTTTGATATTCCTTTTCTTCCAGGAGCTCCTGGCTGTCAGAGAGGGAGCTGTGTGAAATGTAGGTCACGTGCAGAAAACAAGGGCATGATTGTGTGAAGTTCTAAAGAGATTTACATGTCAGAAATCAAGTATTCATTTTCTAATGCACGAAACATGCAGCTTCCCTTAACAGGCATCCCTTAACAAGCAAGAAAAGGCTGCAAAACATCACTAAGCCCATGTACAGTCTCTCAGGACATACTTCATAGAGCGAACATACATTTACTCCCCTTTCTTTGTTAAGTGAGCCGGATACTGAATGAAATGGATGATTGCCCTTCAGTCTTACAGAACCACATGGTACAAACTAACACAGAAAGAAAACACACAGACCAAGAGCGTTAGAGGAGACATGATATTATGAAGCCCGTCTGATCTTTCAAAACCGTTTATAGGACAGAGCAGACCTGCTTCAGGTGGGAAAGCCCTCACTTGAGGAGCCAGCTCTCATGAGTGATTTCTGCAGACGGAGAGCAGCCCGGCAGCTGCAGTACCTGAAGCCGGCAGTGCTGCAGGACCTACAGGCTGGAGTCCAGCCGTGGCCAGTGGAGATCTGCAGGACACGGCCCAGAACGSTGCAGATGGGGCCGCAAGCCAGGGCTGAGCAGCAGCAGGCTCCCAAAGGCAGGCGAAGCAGCCCTGGCAGGYTGCATCGCTCCAGCCAAGATGCAGCACCCTTAACCTGATGCATTTAATGCACATTTAAGGACAGAGCTAGGGTGGGACACGGATGCTGTGCGCCTGCATGAGCAATACTGGGGTGCTCCGTTGCTCTCTGGAGAGCTGGCGAGATAAATTGTCCATGCCTGTTACWAGGGCAGGGCTGGAAAGCCTGCAAAAGAAAATGCATGTCTTTACTTGACCAGCAGAGCCTAATATAACACAAGACACATATAGCTTGCTTTTTACACTAGCTCTCCCGATATCCTAACATCTTGTTTTGCATAAGAAAACTCCTCTCCTTTGAGCGCTTCCCAAGAGACGCAGACAGCAACAGGATTCTTTGGTCATCTCGAATGGAAGCTCCCCTTTTCCCATCAGTGCAGAGCTGCAATTGCTGCAATGTGGGGCCAGGGGCAGCGCGCGGGTCGTGCCGGGAAGGAGGAGGCTGCCCAGGCTGCCGCGCACAGCAGATGGTGCTGCTGATGGTTTTGCTCCCCTGATATTGCACAATTTATAGATTGACAAGATTCACAAAAAGGGAGCAGAAAATGGCACTGGGCATCAGCAGGGAGCTGGTAACGGGCCCCTCTGGCCCAGCCTTCCTCTTGGCTACACGCAGGGGCACCCAGCAGCAGCCCAGGCCCAACCCAAGGTCTCACTCCGCACCAAAGACACCGGCCAGATAAGGTGCATTTGGTGCTTAGTCTGCACCTGAAGTGTCAATGMTCTAAAGCAGCAGGATGGCAGCGAGGGGAGCCAAACCTTTCCACGACTGAGATTTCCTTGTGGTATTTCTTATTTTCTACTGTTTCTGCTTTTTGCTATTATTTACATATTACAGGTACTGTTATTATCATTCCCCAACAAATGAGGGCCAGAACTCCTCAGACTGCCTTCATCAAAAGAAGCCCTGCTCTGTGTGGCRAAGAGCAGCCCAGGTCACTGCAAGCGAGAGAAGCGCAACGCGGCGGCTCACGTCTCATGTCTCACCTCCGCCGGCATCGCTTTGCTTCCGAGCACATTCACCTCCTGCTACTCAACTACTGCCTCTCCAGGCTCACAGCACAGGCAGGGAGCAGTTAATTAAAATATCTGCTCTCTGTTTCTTTTTCTTCCTTTCCCCTTCTCAAGTCAGACAACCCTTTTCTATTAATCTCCTACGTTACGCGCCTTTCTTCTATCAAACCTGCATTAAAAATTCATGGCGGTTCACGCCATAAACTGTCAGCGGTGCATTAAAATGTAAAATAAACACACGCATCCCTTCAGGGCWGGGGGGAGCAGGCGGGCTCGTGGTGTGGGTTCACCGGGCTCTCCGAGGAACAGCCAGAGCTGATTGCTCCCTTGAGATGGGAACAATCTCTCACTCTGTGGCCCTGGGCAGCTCTGCTGGCCTGGGCCTTTCAAGGGACGCAAGCATGGATTGCAAACATAGATTGCAAACACGGACTGCAAACATGGATTGCAAACATGGATCACAGTGGCCTCGTGGCAAGGCCACCTCGTGGAGCCTTTCGTCTTCTCCTGCTCCAGGGAGCTGCACCAAAGGAACCAAGATTCAGTTTTACTGTGGTGGAAGGAGCCTGGGAAGATGGGAGAATGGGAAGCTGACTTAGGCCAAAAGAGGGAAATTGAAATTCACGATGAAGAGGGTTTCATCTCACGTTGGGAAACTTCACTGGTGACTTTGCTCAGTGGCCTATCCAAGGAGCTGCCGTGACTCTGTGGGGAGGAGAAAGGGGCCGTCACAGGTGGTCGAGCCCATTATGCGCCACAGCAACTGCTCGGCGCCGGGCGCAGAAGATGTCGGTGTCACGGGCCGCGCTGCTGCTGCTGAATCTCCTAACCCCTGGCCAGGTTGTTCGCCAAAGGCCGGCTCGCCCCTCTTCAGGGGACATATCAATACCACTTCCTCCGAGCGCCGCCACGGTGACTTTGCCGAGGAGGAAGGCTCCTGGTGAGGGAGGACCGCCAGACCCAGGCACCCAAATACCTGAACCTGGCATTTTGCAGCCAGATAAGAGCTGAAACACGAGGAAATCCTCGCAGCCATCAGGCCCTTTCATCTTCAGACAACCAAAGACACCTYGAAGTAATGAAAGGGAATATACAACCAGTCTGAATCTGACACGTTGAGATGCGACACAAAATGCATTTTAAAGCGACTTCTCAAATGCTGGACCTGGGCTCCTAAAACAAGTTCCGTCGCTCTGATGGGAGGTTCAGCAACTGGGGGCTCCTCGGGCAATCAATGTGCAGCTGCTGATCTTGAACTGCCTCTTGGAGCAATTGTGTCCAATCACTTAAATGAACAGGAGAAAAGAAGAGACATCATCCAGGATTTTCATTAGTATCCCAGGTCTTCAGCTTTGTGCCTTTTATGCATAAGACCCTGCTTGAGAGTTATTTAAATGCATTTGCATGCTTAGCAGTGAGTTTATCTGGGAGGGAAATTGGTAGCACCTAATTACCAGCTAAGGAAAACCAAGAGTGCTGAGGAGGTGCTTCCTCCTCCTCCGTGAAATTAAAGGGATGTTATCAGTTAACAGAGAGAGGCCTTCGTTGCTAAAGTACTGCCTAAAGTAACCCAGGAAAAAAKTGCTTTTCCTAGCCTCTCCGGAGGCTGCCACTGCCATTTCAGACTTGAGGAAGGGACGAAAAGCTCCAAAGCTCTTTCCAAATCTGCAAGTTTGTCAAACGAAAGCACAATTTGTGCCTGAAGAGTGTGTTTTGTCAGCAAGTAAAACCAGAATTAAACTGCTCACTGGAAATCCCTGAAGAGAAAGCCATGGCAAGAGGCTGCGGCGGTCAGGCCTGGCAGGTCTGTGAGCCCGGCAGGAGGCCGCGTTGGCCTGGTCTGCCCCGTGAGGACACAGCGGGCCCGCGAGCCCGGCAGGAGGCCGCGATGGTGGGGCCTGCCCCATGAGGACATGGCCGGGCCTGCGCGCCGTGCGGCTCGCGCGTGCGAGAGCAGCCCTCGCTGGGCACCCGGGGCTTCGCAGCTGGGTGCCCCGCGCGGCCCCGTCTCGCAGGAACGAGCCCCTCCGGCAGCGTCCCCTCCAACAGCTGCTCCCTCAGCCCTCTCTTCAGCTCTCTAACTTTATTTTTAAGACCCACTTGCAAARCATAAGCGATCTGTTAAATTGTACAAATACAGAGCTTTGTAACCATTTTCTTCTGTGACAACCTCTGCTGCAGAAGACACGCATCACTTCTCCTCTGTCGCAGATGCGTGGCAATATTACGTGTCCAAACCATGGAGGACATCTGTGGCACAGCCAAGGACGTGACCCACGTCTTTCAGCAACGCCTCCCCGTGTGATATGTCAGGGCCAGGA